AAATAATTTTACAAGATACAGAGTGTCCCAAATAAGTAAAAAATATCAAAGTTGTATTTTTTTAAATGGAACACCCTGTATATTATTACATTTTTAGTTTCTACGATTAAAATAAAGGTAAATTTGATTAAGGTTTATTATACTTAAACCTTACCGTTTTTGAAATATTTTCAATTTTGTGAAATTGCAGTAAAAATTTTAAGGCTTCATTTCTCCAAGGGTATCAAAGTTTTTAATACTAAATATTTACTGAAGTTTATTTACTGATCAGTTATTGTGTTGCAATAATAAAAATAATACTACCTTATACAGAGTGTCTAAAAATTTATTTTAAATAATTATTTAAATGGAACATCCTGTATATTTTACGAGAATCAGATGCACAATTTAATTGTCTATCAGATTATATTATACCATTTTTTACCTATCTCTTTAAGTTTCCGTAGAAAATGCATTTTCTTGTAATTTAGAACTTATTTATCAATATACTCATGGACTATTGACATTTTAGATTATTTTTAAAGATGTACCAAATTTTTAAAGAGTACAGATACTAATATTGTCGATATAATTCGTTTATTTCATTAAAAAATAAAAAAAAACTGTTCAAATATTTGTTAAAGAGGACCAATTAATATGATCCAGTATTCAAACTACATTAACTGACTGTTTGCATTGATTAATAATAATTGCTCCAAATACTAAAAAACTGAATTTTGTATGGGCATTAGACAGTGTGATAAAAAGTAACACCTTAAAAATGATATTTCATTTTTTAATAAATGCTTATTTATAACAACAGAGACTTTAATTTGATAACTTATTATTATATTGATTTCTGACTCAAATCCACATTTATTTATAATAGTTTATTAACGAACACAATTAACTATGTAATTAATTAGTATATGGGCGGAAATAATGGTGTTATATTTAATTAATGGTATACTCTTTTATAAAGATTTAAATAGTTTTCTTTTTGCATACAAATGGCTAGTAATATTATCGTTTTACTAAAAACGATAATATTATATATATTATTTTTATTATTGCAATATCAATAAATAAACTTCATTAAATATTTAGTATTAAAAACATTGATATCCTTGGAGAAATGAAGCTTTAAAATTTTTACTGCAATTTCACAAAATTGAAAATATTTCAAAAACGGTAAGGTTTAAGTATAATAAACCTTAATCAAATTTACCTTTATTTTAATCGTAGAAACTAAAAATGTAATAATATACAGGGTGTTCCATTTAAAAAAAATACAACTTTGATATTTTTTACTTATTTGGGACACTCTGTATCTTGTAAAAATATTTTTAAATTGTAGCTCTAATAGTCCTTCAACGAACCCCAAACTTACAATTTGTAAAAATCTCATCGTTTAGCTACAATACTCCGTGTCGTATGTGGTGAACAACCCTGTATAATATACATACGGTAGTAAACCGATCATTTATGAAATTCACTTAAATTAAGTAATTATATATTTTTTCTTGCATTTTCGCTTTTATTTACTACTTGTCAAAGATTAGATGTCAAAGAATTTAGATACGGCGATTTGACTTACCTGCTTCAGTAGCGTATCGGATGTTTATGGTTATAAATAATTATTATAACTTATCTATTTTTATTAGAATTTTATATTTTTATAACAATTTTAATAACTACCAACATTTATTCACAACGTAAAAAAAAAAAAAATATTGAGTCTACCCCACGTCTACCCTACATCATAGTTCTACATTTTTTAAATAAAATTAGAACGGCACTGATAAACCGGAATTTAAGTCGGCCATATTTGAGGCCCATCGCGGTGGACCTAAGATTTTTGATATGCTCCTTCCTTAGTCTTCTTATTTAAAGGCGCAGGCTTACTCTTAGTGCACACATGTATCAAAGAGACTAACTTCCCATATAATTTTACATATAAAATGACAGCGATCTTCATTTCATAGCCATCGTTGACGCCGTTTTTATTCGATCATACGGTATTAAATATAGGGCTTCAAGTGCAAAAGTGCACTAATTGAGGAACAGCCCACTCAATATCCCCATTTTATTAAATATAAATATAATTTGAAATAAAATTTATTAAATTAACAAACATAATATCTAGTCTATTTTCGGAACTGAAGATTGAATTTAAACATTTTAAAGCATACTAAATCCATTTTACTGCTTTCCTATATTTAAAATATTTCCAAAAATTAACAATTTTATCTCATATACAGTTAATTTTAGTATTAACGATTCGTTTAACGCATTTAATCATTGTGCGTTGTATAGCGGAGTATAAAAAGACAGCGAATTTTCGTTACATCGCCAGCAATATTATTAAAAGCGCCCTCTTTATTACAAAACGTGATGCTGTAAAAGTTGCAGTCGAAACATGTTTGAAATACGCGAGCTAATTAATTTGAAATGGCCCATCGATGCGGAAACCGGCGTTATTTTTGATATTCCCAAGTAAATGCCTCCGCGCTTTAACAAATTTTGCCATAACAAATAACGTATTTATTAATAAATTACTGTATTAATAAATATCGTGAGGGTTCGTTCAAAAACATTAATTGCATCATGCGATTCACTGGGCAAAATTAAAAAGTCGATTATTGCTATAGGTAATTATTAGCCGAGTGTTTTTTTTATCAATAGCCGTGTTTCTGAGCTTGGAAATTGTATTAGTAACGATGATGTACAGCTCGTAGCCATAGAGGTAATTTATGTTATTGGCTAATTCAGCTGTATGATTTATTTAACAGAAGTAAAGTATGTTAGAAAATGTTTTTCTTGCTGTTTTTTACAGTGAGTAACTACGTCTCTATTTTGGACTAATACGCTGATGACTGCGCTCTATTTGCAAATTCGTTACAACAATTACACTGAAAAAAAGGATCTCTCAGTCGAAATGAATATGACTTTCACCCAAAAGATTGGTGCTTTTCAATAGGGCCAAGAACGAAGTTTCTTTACCCAAAGAATTAACTATCTATTCATAAGCTTTAAAAAATTACTTTAGAGAATAGAAGAATCTATCTGTCCAAAGTATTTCACTCTTGACCCAAAATTAATATGCAAAGAAGTTCTTGCTACAAAAACAATAGTCTCTTATTCATGCAAAAATTCTTGATTGAACAGGGACATTTCTTGATTAAAGAGACACTTTCCTTAAACCAATAGCGAATACCATTGACTCAACTAAAATTTATTTTGACCTAAGAGAAATCTATACACCATATACAGGCATATTACGAGGTATATTATTTTCTGATAAATTTAGGTTTTCCTAGTCTGTAGTAAGTAAAGTGATATTATTTTCCTCGATAGTAGGTAGTTATTTCTGCTTCTTGACTCCTTGGTATTTTTTGGGGTGGTTCATCACTCTACAAATTACAAAAAAATGTTACATCACGATTAATCAAGGTAAAGCAAACAAATTGTTAAAATTATAAGCTTTGGTCACATTTTGTTTTTTTTTAATACGACGATTTGAAATTCTAAAATTTTTGTAATTATTTGCATAAAAAAATCGATACCTATATTCTTATTCTATCTATAGTCACGCATGCATTATCTATACAGGTGCATTAGGTAAATGTCTCTTACCTTCAGATATAGCAAATAAATGCTCTAATTTCCATTTTTTCAGAAACTCCTTTAAAGAATCCATATATCCTAAAATTTGTCCATAAAAAATGACAAATGCATGTTAATAACAATCACTAATTTGTTATACGATATGCGTTTAAAAAGCAAATTATGCAAAATCCCAAGTGGAAAATTCCAAGCAACAAAACCCGTGCGTATACAGTACGTCTGTTCGTTCTGTAGCTACGGGGTATCCGTGAGAGGGGAAACGATATTTTCTCGATGTTTTTCGTAAAAAACTAGACGACGCGTCCCATCAATAAAAATTCAACAAATTTGCAAGTAGCCAATAAAATGAGTGGGCGGAGCGATTTGCGGTGACGTACTCGTTGAGTCGACGTATAAAATAAATTGCTGTTTATTTAAATATTTTTTGTCCGCATTCTGAACTATATTCAATAATTATCTTTCATATCTCTCTTCCAATCCTATATAGATTCACACGCAGCCCTATAACTTATAAATGTTATTTTTGTTTACAGAGTTTTAAACATTTTGTATTAAACTTATTAATAACAACTTACCTTTTATTTTCACCTAGACTATTAATTCAAATAGTATTGATTTGTCCAATATAAGCTAAATGGTGTAGCTGTATCACCCAAAACGACAAGTGCTATAGTGATGGAGGACCTAATACTACAGTTCAGTCTCTATAGAGAGTGGACGGCTTCATCGCGTGGTCTACTATTGCGTAATCAAGCACGTGATCTGATACGTTATTATAATTGGTTGAAGAAACTTAATTCATTGTAAATTTACAATTTGGACGAATTTTTACATTGTATTTTGTGATTCTACATAGTAGCCCGTACTTTTCATGTAAATTTACCTATAATAGAAGAAATATTACATGCAGCCTTGTAAAAATACACATAAAATGTATTTTTACTATGCATTTTGTAAATGTTCAATTACTCATATGTAGAAATATCTTTCTAATTATTTTTATGTAAAAAAACTCTAAATTGTCTGTGAAAAAATAATGTAAATTTACCCTAATTTTTATCAATGTAGACCAAATACCAAGAAAAAGTTAACCATAAATATTATTTTTGTATACTCGCTATTTAAAACCGTGTATTTGTATATTCTAGTAGTTTACGACATTCTCCGGTGAGGAAGGCACCAAGCCTATAAAATAAAATGTAGCTTTATTTTGAAAGCAGTACCTAATCGCGGAACTCACGTACCAGCGTAAAAAACAGGAAAACATAAAATTTGGTAAAAATAAGGACGGTATTTCTGTTTTTTAAAAAAAGCGTACCAAAGAAAAAAGGAACGTACTTGGTAGTAATAATTAAAATATACTAAATGCTACTAATTTCCACTTTCTTTTGCAGGTCCCCCTTAAAAGCTCAACCTGGGAGCCACTTCCGGACCCGTCCCGACTCCGGGCGGGTTTTCTCCGGTCATTTCCGCCGCAAAAACGCTTTCCCTAAGGGAATCCGCCTGCGCCGAGTCGCTCTGGAAGATGCCGCACAAAGGTAATTATCCACGTTCTCCATTTTTATAATTAAGAGATGGTCGTCGGTTCGGCGTGAAAATGACCGATTGAAGAACCGTAATAGCCGTCAGAAACCGTAATACCTCAGAAACCGTAATAGATATGAAGATGGTTAAATTGGGGCAAAGTTGTTCCTTGGGATCTTCACCAAGTTGCAATCAAAAAAGTTTTAAAAATTTCAAGAATTGCTGAGTTTTTTGGAAATCAATTTTATTTTTTCCTGTCGTTACTTTTTAGAAAATCAAAAAACTAATTGCACATTCTCGTAGCCACTTTAATAGAGCTATCTGATAGTATTTTTAGATTTTCAAACTTGCTGCTAATTTGTTAGACACAGACGTCAACAAAAAAATTTTAAATACGGACCTGCATTTTTTCTTTCATATTTTGAAAGAACTCGGTCTCCTGAGTACAATGATATATGCCACACTTGATACTTTTTTTTTGTTTTGGGTACCTTAACAATAACAAAACTATTTTATTATTATTTAAAATAATTTCAAGTCCAACTATGGTTTTTTAAATTATTTAATCTGATTATATTCATCGCATCAATATTGATCAGCGCCAATTAACATTGAATAAGGAAAATCGAGCCAATTGAAAGATTCAAATAAATAATATCCAGGTCAGCAATTTAAAGATATTATTTTTAAGTCTTTTTGTTGTGAATTTGAAACAAACGTAGTAATTATAAAAAAATCAACTTTTTCAAACTAGATTTAATCTTATTTATAGCTCTTTGAACATATCTTCTTCTTATACTTCCGAATGCATTTTGTAATCTTTATTGTAAATGTTGAAATGTATTGATTTCACTTTTACAAAACACGTCAAGTAATGCCCCCCACCCCTTGGCGACAGGTCCAGAAATCTCGCTGGCCATTATACAGCTCTACCATTTCTAATCCATCTTCCGGGAAAAAAAATCTGATTGTTTATATTATATTATATTTATATTATTTTTTATTATTTTATTGCATTTGATTTTCCGTATTCAATAGTTTTTGCCCCACGTCATTGTTAAGTTTGAAAGCTTATTAATATTGTAACGATGAATAAATTAAATATTAAAAAAACAGAGCCGAACTTGAAATTAATTTAAATAAATTGTGTTCAAATGTCCAAAACAAAAAAAATCATGGCATATCATTGTACTCAGGAGACCGAGATCTTTCAAAACCTGAAATAAAAAATGCAGGTCCGTATTTAAAAAAAAATAAGTTGGCCTCTGTATCACACAAATTATCAGGTAATTTGAAAATCTAAAAATACCTTTACATAGCCCTAATAAAGTGGCTATGAGAATATGCAATTAGTTTTTTGATTTTCTAAAAAGTAACGACCGGAAAAAATAAAATTGATTTTCAAAAAAATCCGTTTTTTCCAAAAAACTCAGGAATCTTTGAAATTCTTAAAACTTTTTTGATGGCATCTTGGTTCGTATCTATTACTGTTACCGAGATACCAATGCTCGTACCTCGAATTTGTAGCACCCTGTATAAGCTGTTTCAAAAAACATGTGCTATCTCTCTTGGGGAGATTCCTAATTCCTAGGATCTAAACAATTTTGCTAACAAAACAAAAAATCAGTGGCGTATATATTTTTTTAGCAAAATATTCCAGTAATAAGCAGAATCGGACTTATGGTAATATGAAAAATAAGTCTTATTTTTAGGAGAGGAATCTCCCCACAAGAGATGGCACATGTTTTATGAAACACCCTGAATAAGTTGATGACAATTTCGATGGTGAACATTGGTATTTCGGAAATTAATTGAGACAAAATTTGCGTTATTAGAAGTTTGACAAACGCCTGTCAAAAAAAACACTCGTATATATTAGTTTCCGATATATGTCAAAAAATTTACATTGGGTGCGTTCAGGGAACACAGCCGCTGACATTCAGCATAGAATTTCGCTGACCAGCAGCTTACGATATTCCCTAAACGGCACAAAGCAGCAGAAAGAACAAGAAGGAGTACCTGTCTCATGCGCTCTCTATCTACTATAAAAATTTGTGAGAAATATAAATAAATCTTCTTCGTCAAATCGGTCTATAATCGATCGAATAAAAATTATTTTGAAAAAAAAATATTACTGGCTGATCATTTAATAAACGAAAATATATTATTTGACAATACAGTATTAAACATTAAATTTCTAAAAAATATCACTTTATAAATAATTTTACCTATACACCTAAACAAAACAACTTAAAATAACAGGAACTGGCACCTTTTACGCATTTTTTTTTTCGATGGTATGGTACAAATAAAATTACTGAAGGTGTAAATACCCTACAATAAAAAAAAACGACATCAGGGATGATGTGGAGGTAACGATTGCTGTTCTTTTATAAGTAAACTTATATAGGGAATATTATCGATCGTCGTTTCTAAGCCAATTGGGGGCAATTTTTTTTCGATCAGACGGTATAATTACAATCAAAAGTTATTTATCCTGATTTAGATTTTTTCAGAGTAGTATTTTTTTTAAATTTCATTGTATTTAGAAAACTTGACTTGAGATGGAAATCAAGTTGAATTTTGTTTTTTTATTTCTATTTTTTTATTTTTATTTCTTTAACTTCTTCGATCTCTATTTACAATTATTGTCTTTTTCGAACGTTTTAGATTAACCTACTGCTCCAGACTGCTCTGTAACTTTTTTGACAACAAATATCTCCTATTTTTTAAGGATTCGATTAACTACTATTAACTATAAACTTCAACAAACCATAAAAAGTAAACAATAAACTGAGAAAATTAAATTTATTTTACATTAATTGATCACAGATAAGGAAATAGATTAAGGCTGACTTGTCTCAGCCTAAATATTTACCGCTGAGGATTTTGCACAGCGGCTGACTGTTGCTGTTCGTCAGAATAGACCGTTTAGGGAAATCGCTTACTCAGCCACTCAGCCGCTGACCGTCCCTGAACGCGCCCATTAATAACTTTGTTTTAAATGTCAATATCTTCAGAATTATTATATGTATTGCAATATGGATACAATAAGTTGGTAGTTTTATATTTTTAACCTTGGCTTAACCTAAATTCCTTTTACAGGAATGTTTTGTAAGACTTCTAGATTTCGCACAACTACCACCAAGTTTCTGTTTTCTTTTGGCGTCATTTTTAACGTTTTTATTATTAGATAGAGCGAAAATAATTTATATGGTCATATCCAATTTTGGTCCTTTAATATCCAAAATTTCTAGAAAATTAAGGGTTTTTAAAAATATGCTCAATATCGGATTAGTCTTGGAAATCCAGTTTGACGGTTATAGGACACCAATTATTGTTTTATGTACTTTATTACGTGTGAAAACGGAAGGCGCAAAAATTCTATAGTAAATGTGTAGAATGTATTACTCAAGATCATTGTGTTTATTGTTCTACGACATTTACTACAACACCTATTATATGTTAAAGAACATTTTATTATAGACCTCTATGTCACTGTCCTCCAGTTGTAGGTTATTTTATATTATGCGTGAGCCATATTACAATTCAACTTTTAATAATATAAGTCAGATAATATAAGAGAAATATTGAGGTACAAAAACTATTAAAATGTTTTCTTTTTTTTATGAAACTCAGCTTGTGCCGAGAGGCTGTGGAAGATGCATTATGAAGGTAACTATACATTTATTTTTATGATTTACGCAAGCAAAAAGAAAAGATTTCGTATAGTTCTTATTTCGACGATATAAGTTCTTTATTTTAGTTAAGTTAAGGGTGAAGGTTCTGTATAATAATATTTGTGGTTTTAATTAAGTTCATATCAAAGTTTTTAAACTATAAATTGAGATTGTTCCTTTTACGGAGCGACCGACAATGATTGAAGTAGTTGTTTAATCTGATTTTTTTCGTTCAGTTGGTAATAAATTTAAGAAATTCAATTACTTATCAGCTATGCAAAACTAGAGTCAAAGGAACCGAATTCGCAAATGATATAAATTTTGTGATGGTATTTAACTTGGATGATGTATTTAATCTTAACATTTTATAACTTATTATTGGTATAATTACGTGTATTAAAAAATATAGGTTAAATAAATAAATAAATAAATCAATAAATGCCGTTATTGTCAAAAAAGTTTTCAATTTGTAGACAAAGGTAAACTAACAAACAAAGTAAAAAAACAAGGTACACAAACAAACAAACAAAAGATAATACAAACCATTATACAAATAATATTGTCAGTCTTATTGTTAAAATAAACATTTATAAATGTTTATAATGTCAAAGAAAAAAAAAATAAAAATAATATTCAAAAATATTTAGCTAGTTTATAGTAAAATATCAATGACCTCTAAATAAATTCATTTCGATGTCATTAGTAAATATAGCAATAGCAAACATTAGACCAGTGTTTACAAGATCAAATTTGATTTTCAAAATATAATTCATTTACGGCGTAGAAAGCCTTGTCTAGTAAATAGTCACTAATAAAAGCTTCTTTAGTGAGTTCAATGCTTTGCGAAATGAAAAAAATTATGTTATGGATTTGATTTCAAATGGCAGGTGATTGTGCATTTTTTTTTGAGTTGTATAATATTGAACTTTTAACTAACTCTGAGCGTGGAGTAGGTAGATAAAGATCTTGCTCCGCGTTCCTGAGTGGATAAGTGTGAGATGGCCTTTCTTGAGAAGCTGATACATGCTTATGTATTAGGCAAACGGATTCAAATATAAATAAGGAACGAAGAGTCAATATTTTTAATTTTTTAAAAAAGTCCCGGCAATGAGTTCTGATGTTTAGTCCTAGTGAATATCGAACAGCTCTCTTCTGGAGCCTGAAAATGCGGTCAAATTGAGTCGCACAACACGTACCCCAGAATGGAAGGGCATACCTGAGGTGCGACTCAAAGAGTGCATAATAAACAGTTCTAGCCACTGACAAGTTAAACTCCTTAGAAACAGGCCTTAATGCAAAACAGGCAGAGCTCAATTTTTTCGACAAAGCTTCGA